AATGCCTAGTAAAAGTCACGGATATGACGTAAGACCACCCCTCCCCCTTCCTCGATGTAATATTTCCAACAAATTCTATCTACAAACTAGTCAACTATTGTTTTGAATTATTTTTCTAGTATAAAGCGCGTGCCATAATTGCATTTTTGTTGGAATGAGAGAAAATGACGTACCTTCGAATTCTATCGTTCTAATATACGTAATGCGACCGTGCGAGTAGGAGAGTCTTCGGTAGAAGGTAGAACGATTACAGAAGGTACATCATTTTCTCTCATTCCAACAAAAATGCAATTATGGCATGCGCTTTATACTAGAGAAATAATTCAAAGCAATAGTTTTACATGTGACCTCTGACCTCCACAGGAATAACCGACCTTGACCGATCAATGGCTTTTGAGTTACGAAGAACGATTTTGATTTGTTCTCTACGGTTCTGTTTGTCTCTAAGTAATCCCATGTATTTATTTTGTATAATTTGGTTACCTGCGTTATTTATGTTTTACATACAATTCTCTGTTACTTCTGTTTAAGTATTAACTTATGTTTCATTATTTCTGTAAACTGGGCCCCACTGAAAATCAACTTGTCAAAGCTGAGTTGGGCTACCCAGGTGTGTTAAAATGAAATAAAAAAAATAGTTGACTAGTTTGTCGATAGAACTTCTTGGAAATATTACATCGAGGAAGGGGGAGGGGGTGGTCTTGCGTCATATCCGTGACCGTTACTAGGCATTATGGGAAGTGTGAAATTGGTGAATATTTTTTCCATCCAGGTCCATAAGACGGCTTCAGGCTCCACGTTCATGCTCCTGGCCAGATTCGGCCGGAACCACGGAATGACCATCTGCTATCCTACAAACCGTATCAAAGCCAGCCACAAGCAGCTTTCATACCCAAGGTACACATTCAAACTCCCTGTATACTATATTTAAGGGTTGATGACCTGCCCCGAGGTGAATATGGTGTGATAAAGCCTTGTCAGTTGCTATAAACACCGAATAAAACCACTGAGTGAGCGCAGCGAGAAAGGGCCGGCCATTAACGCTAGTATCATATAGCCCATCAAAATCTACACAGTAAAGAGTGACACATTCCTGTACAACACATACAAACTTAAATAGAACAATGTGTTCCATTCGGAGTCACCTGAGGTCACTGAGGGAGGGCGTGTTCTATCTGGGTCAAAGTCAGGGAACAGGTGTTCTTATGGGAGTCACCTGAGGTCATTGGAACACAACTCAAGTTACTTTGGATTTTTTAGAACAAACCGTTGTTCCTTTCCCTAGGGCACAAGATCGGTGGGATGAGTCGACTCGAACCAGAACCCGGGACCTCTAGGTTCCAAGTCGAGCACTCTGCCGCTACGCCACACGACCCCACATTGGCATTTTTTGTAGTGTATTTGACACTAACCGACTTCAATACGTCCTACAGCGGACATTTGACAAAAGAAGACTGCAGGCCGGCCCTGGGAAGAAACTACACCCTCATTATCCACCATTCCATCATGAGAAAGACCGCCATGGACGGGGTTATGGCACCTGGGACCAGGTACATCGGCATCGTGCGAGAGCCTCTCAACCATTTTCGCTCCATATTCTTCTGGCAGAATCCTGGTGCCCGCCGCAAGAAGAACCCACTAGGGGCTTTTCTTAATAAAAAAAGCCGTAAGAAGAAAGAGGCCGTACTCGAAACATCGCAATTTTCAGTCTTATACCCTGGGGTTTCCACCAGAACTGATGACCAGCAAAAATACAAGCCTGATACACCAAGCAATAAGGTGGGTTTAAAGTTAAAACTTTTGATCCAACACCAAAAATTCTCTCACCTAGAGCTTTCGACCAGTTACTCAGTAGACTGACCCAGTGAAGCTTGTCACGTGGCTTCTTTGAAGTGTAACGTCAACACCGGGTCAAAGGTATCTGGTAGACGATGTCGGCCCCCGTCGCGGTTCAATGAAGGGTGATGGGCCCTGATGTATATGGCTTGCTTCACCCCTCTCAGGAAATAGGCTTGTTCACCTTTCACCCTTCATTGAACCGCGACGGGGCCGACATCGTCTACCATATACCCAGGTTACGTCATAACAACGTCATTAGTAAAATTGCACAGTATTCTGTAAAGTTGCACTGTATACTAATACGACTGCACTGTATTCCGTAAAATTGCACTGTATACTAGTAAACTTGCACTGTATTCCGTAAAATTGCACTGTATACTCTGGCAACCCTGGAAATGATTCTTAGAAGATCTACAGCTACCGGTCGTTCACCGGTATGAACAGGGTCTTAGGAACAAAAACACTATCTCTATCCCCCCGCCAGAACAAAAAGACTACAGAACTCTTTCCTTCACCAGTAAATCAGACTATATAACCGGACTGTACAGACAGAGTCTGGCACAAGATAATGGACCTTGTAATGACCTTTAAAACGTTATAGTTGTTGTAAATATATAATTTTTTTGACATTTTATCTTGTAAATATCAACGCCATTCAGGCAACATTGTATGTCATGTTTGTCTGCTATGTTTGATATCTTAATAAAAAATTGAATTGAAACTTGTTTTTGTACAGGACCGTTGGAAGCTGGTACTCTGTAGTGCTGATAACAGAGTATTGGGAGGAATCTCTGGTACTGCTGAAAAGGAAGTTTTGCTGGACCCTGTTCGACATCCTACACACCACACGGAAACTACATGAACTCCCTCCCCTAATAAAACGCAACGAACATGTCAAACTGACCAAGAAGCAGACAAACAACCACAGGAAGATGAGCAACATAGATTATATGATGTACAACTACTTCAATAACACATTTTGGCAACGTGTGAGCCAGGAAGGGCCCGACTTTTGGGAAGAGTTGGCGTATTACAAGACACTGAACCACCAAGTGAACCAACATTGTAACTCAGTAGGTGGGACAAGGGTCTTTTCCGCCGGTAAATGGAGTGAAGAATTTACGATAGATTCAAAATTCTGTGAGGAACTGCAGAAATGGGCGGAGGGGAGGTGGGCTGTAGCGTGTTGGGACGTGGTCGATAGACAAAACAAAGAGATTGAGGAACAAAAAGGCAAGCCTGTGAGTAAGAAGGTTTCAACCTCCTTGCTGTGAAGTTGATTCAGAATCATAATTTAGAGCGAGATGTTATAATTTCTTCATGTTTGTATTTTGTGAAACAACAATACAGAATGCATCCAGATGTATATGATCCTGACAACTGTTTCATGTTCAATTGCCTAAAGTATTAGGACTGTACGTAGATGGAAAACTTACCTACTTTTGATTATTCTTGACACGTCGTTTGCATACTATCTTTCATACTTTTTTACTCTTTGATTTGATAGTATTTGTCTTTAGTGTATTGAGGATACTTCTCCTGGAACAATGACAATGTCATAAGTTATGCTTGAAAATGTCGCCCTAAATGGTAGACTAGTGCACGCGTCTGTTGGAACTTTTTTTTCATTCCTACATGTACTCACCAGACGTGGTGACGGCACACTCAAGTTTTTTTTCAAGTTCACTCAACTTATATTAATGCCGCCACCAACACATGGGACAAATGCATGACAGGACAATACTCATCTACACCTGAGCTAAGTGAGGAAAGTCGTGTAAAGTGCCTTTCCCAAGGACACAAGATCGGTGACATGTCAGGACTCGAACCCGGGGCCTCTAGGTTGCGAGTCGCGCACTTTGCCGCTACACCACACGACCCCACAACTTTTGATACAGTAGATGGTTTATGATGTCAATAGAAGAAACTGTAACTGACATTTGGATGTATCTTGGATGTTATTTTAATAAACTCATGACAGACCAAAACGTACCTTCCCCAAAATCATGACAGTGCCAACAACCCTACCAACAACCTCCGTTGCCATGGCAATGTATGTTTTCATTGCCAGTCTTTTTTTTTTGAGAACAGGCGAAAATCGTGCAATGCGCGCGCGCGGATGTCATCCATAAAATTTAGGAGGCGTGGCCTAAGATATACTAAAGGGTGCACCAATGCTGCGACAGTATGGGATCCATATACAAAGAAAGACAAAGACAAATTGGAAAGGGTACAGAATCAAGCTGCAAGATTCTGTATGAACAACTATGAAAGAGGTGCTAGTGCACGGAACTTCGACCAGACTATGCATGATGTACAAAATGACTAATAAACTGGTGGACATCCCATATGACTACTAAGTACCAGCCCAGAAGAGAACAAATAGCCACGCCTTCAAGTACCAGAGTTATCAACCGAGGATCGAGGTGTTCAAGAATTCATTCTTTCCTAGAACTATCGCAGAGTGGAACTCACTGTCACCAAGTACAGTAGGGACATTGTCATTAGATACCTTTAAACAATATCTAGAGTTAGAAGTTCAAGGGTTAGGAGTAACAAGTCGATCGGTGTAATATAGCCAGCTGCCGCCGCGCCGCGTGCCTGCGAAGCTGGTGTGTTACGCCGAAGGGCGGTTATACCGGCTATACAGATACAGGATACCATTGCTGCAAGTGGACACACCCCTTGGATGAGTGCCACGCCCCTTTCCCGCCCAAAGCCTACATTAAAGTCAAACGTACGTAAGTCCTAAACCTTGTTCTGCGAAAAGCTTCATATCTCAACCCAGATCTCACCTTTCCCTGCTCCGGTCACAAGGGCCCTTTTCCCGTCAAATCTGATCTCCATGAAGTAAGAAATGGGAAGACTGGGAAGACTGGGAAGACCTTGGACTTTGAAATGTAAACGTAGCAGTATATACGTTACCGCCCATTCGACTATCACAATACGGACCAAAATGCCGCTGTCCGTTTAATCAAGGAATTTCTATGAATAGACAATGTGTCAAAGAGAACTGCAATGTCACATCCATTTTAAGTCTATATCAGTCTTTTTCCTTCTGCCGTTGCGATATACAAATTATGCTACCCTGTACATATGGCGAGTGAGTGAGTGAGTGAGTACATGGCGATACTCGAATGAGCCATAACGAATACACTGCTACGTTCACAGTTCAAAGTCCACAGCTGATGAGTCGGCCTCAAAACTGTTGGTTCAACATAGCATACGATCCCAACCTATTTCCTAAGTCATGGAGATCAGATTTGACGGGAAGAAGGCTCTCGTGACTGGAGCAGGGAAAGGTGAGCTCACGGTTTAGATGTAAAGCTTTTCGCAGAACAGGTTTCAGGATTTTTGTCCGTTCTAAGTGTGCGCTGAGGTGGGAGGGGGCGTGTCCATATGTTGTTTACCTCCTGGCTATACCATACCTATGCTTATATATAGTCTCCGTAGCAGGCTTATAGAACTGGGGGTTTGGTGGTCTTCGGCTGTTTTCTGATAAGCCCAGTTCGCAAAAAACGGGGGTAATTCAACCAGGCCGGCTATGTTGTCTGATAATATGCAATCAGAAAAAAGCACATAAAAGCTCACAAAGACCCTGAAGACCCCCCCCCCCAGTTTTCGGCGTGCTATGGAGGCTAACCTATGCTGTCATAATTTGCCATCATACATATATGCAACCTGTGTATATACATGACAAAGTACAAGAAGCTGGCAAATTGCAGGAAGGACTATTTGTGTGAAAGAAGTTGACTCCGTACTACTTATATATACGATATGTATGGATCACAGGGCTTGAAATTCATTTTTGCACTGGTGCACCCAATTTTTTGGAATAGATTAACATCTGTGTCCATAATATCACCAGGGTCCATAATATCACCACCTTGAGAAACAGTGTGCTTAAAGATATTTTTACTGAAACATACCCTAGGTATGTACATTTGAGGTGTGCAGGAGTGCATACCAAGAGTATGTTGCAGTAAAAATATCTTTAAGCACACTGTTTCTCAAGGTGGTGATATTATATGGACCCTGGTGATATTATGGACACAGATGTTAGGTAGAATATCAGCAAAGCTATGATTTTATCATTTTTCTGACACTAAGATAATTTATATTTTAAGAATATGCAGCGAGTGTATACTACTATACAGTGATCTTTAACGTTACAACTTACATACGTAAACCTATGAAAATATTTGGGTGTACAGCTCCAAATTTGGGTGCACTAAGGTGCACATGCACCCTGTGGATTATCATAACTCCTACATTATGAAACAACATCACATACACCGTTCCTTGTCCACAGGTATTGGCCGTGATGTAGCTAAGACCATGTATAAGTGCGGTGCTGAGGTGTTTGCTCTCAGTAGGACTCAGGAAGACCTGGACAGTCTGGTACAAGAGGTCTGTATACACATCCGTTTCTAGATTTTAGCCTGGATGCCATCCTCTGTAGTGTCCGCCAGCTCCCTAATGTCGCTGGCTACCATGGACTGCCACAGGGGGTGACACCCAGGCTATTTAGTTTCTGTACAGTTTAATAGCCATTTCTAAACATATGCGATCAATATAAGTTAGATTATTTTAGAGAGAAAACTTAAGATGAACTTTTGGATACTGAGTAGCTTAAGCATTGGAACTTTGTGGTGATAATTTGTGTGTAGCACAATGCAGAAGTAGATTGCCCATGTTTTTTTAAAGGTATATAAGCCAGGATCTTGCTTGGGGGGGGGGGCCTACATCAATTTCGCATCCACATAGCCTAGCGGCGACCAATGGGTGACCAGCATTCCGCGCCACGCCCACTTTGCGGTCGATTCCATTCGACAATGGGGATGAACAGCATCCTTCCGTACGGCGCGGCAGGTAATCGGAGTTGGAAATGTCAGATAAACAATGTAAGAATTGGTGTATTTGAGGTGAAAATAATGCAAGTACCGAAGTTACGGGTTCCTTTCTCAGCACTCAGAGTTGAGGCGGCTTCCGTCCTAGATCTTCAGTGCCGAAGGTACGTCAACACTTGGTGTGTCGGCGGCTTCAGCACTGGAAACTCGGAATCGGCAAATCAAACCTTGTCTTTAAAAAGGGTATCGAGATGCTGCCACTCATATTTTCGAGATCATACCGCCTGGGTAACAAAGTTTAATCGGGACAACAAGGTTATCGGCAGGACAGGACTGCAAGGCCTCTTTTCTTACATTTTCACAGACAAAGACTTGGCCTAAGATACTGTTTTGTACGCCGCGCGGCCGACGTAAGCACCAGAAGCCCAGTGCCGAAATGGTTTAACTCGGCTCGGTGGTTATTTTGCTCCAACTATTCAAAGACACAGAATTTCAGAAAACAATTTACAAATGTATCTTTTGAACAAGTTTGAGAAACATCTTTTTCAACCATATCTTGCTAAAGTGCGGGTTGTGGGTGTGGCCGAAATGCTACCCGCCTATTGGTCGCCGCTAGGCTGGCTTGGATGGGAAATTGAGGTTCCGGGGGGGGGGGTTCGTTCCTACTTTCTCAGGGACCAGCGAGCGCCAAAGGCGCAAGCTTTCTAGGGGTTCCAGGGGCATGCTCCCCCAGAAAATTGAACCTTCTGAAATGGCATTTCCTGCATTTTTGAGGGGATTTCAAAGGAAAAATCTGAGACAAATAGGATTCCAGTCCTGCTGGTGATACAAATCAGTCCACCTTTTAAAGAAAAATCTTTTGGACCTTTAGATAAAAAGTGGACCTTTGAGCATGTGTGTGGGGTTCTTCCAAATCCTTCCTCGGGCTATGGGCATGAGGTAGATTGTCTATGTTTGAACACATCACAAGATCTATGTGTCCTTTACTCCCAGTGCCCAGGTATCCACCCTGTTCAGTGTGATCTTGCAGACCCAGAAGCCACCAAGTCAGCGGTGGAGTCAGTTGGACCCATCGACCTTCTGGTCAACAATGCTGGGGTCACGTCACTGCAGCCGTTCCTGGAAGTCACCTTGGATGCTTTTGAAAAGTAAGAATACACCTAAGATATAGTCCTGAATGCTTTTGCTAAGTAAGATATAGTCCTGGATGCTTTTGATAAGGCCATGTTAATTTGATTATATGGATGACATCCGTGCGGGCATGAATTTTCGTCCATTTCCAAAAAAAAGATTTCAACCATACGGTAAATCGTACAAAACAGTTGCAAAATGAGCAAATATATACCGTAGGTTGAAAAAAAAACATTGGAAAATGATACCAATGTTGTAGAATGTCAAAACAAAACATAGGAAAATGTAAAGAAATGAATTTGAAGACTAGATTTCAAATTCATTTCCAAACCACACTGTGCCATTTGTTCAACCTTCAAAACCACATAGATTTCATAATGAAAGCAACTTTTTTTTGGCAAAACTTTTTTTTATTCACATGCTCGCATCAGTTTTGGGGTTCCCAGAGGATGTCATCCATGTAATCAAATCAACATGGCCTAAGTAAGATATAGTCCTGGAGATATAGGGAATATCATAAAGTGGCCGTATACAGATTGCGTATCATACCACTGTTTTGACTTGTTTCTCCTATAGGGTGATGAACATCAATGTGAGAGCTGTCATGCAAGTTTCACAGGTCAGCTGATAGCTTCTGCACTTGACAATGACTTTTGGATGATAATTTAGAAAATTAGGTGTGAATTATTATAGTAAGCATATAAATGAATTATGTAGAATGTGCCCCATGCAGAAGTTAGCAACGTTTTTGTAGATTAACTATATTCGTATTGGATCACAGAAGCTAGAAACTCTAAGAGTAGCTGGATAATTTTTGTAAATGCCGAAAAAAACAACAGTCTTTAGACTTTGCCTGGGGTATGTGTAGAATAATTACATTGTAAGTATTTCTTTTACTTTTCCCAGATAGTTGCCAAAGGAATGGTGGAGCGAGGCACGGGAGGTTCTATTGTTAATGTGTCAAGTCTGGCCTCAAAAAGTGCATTGAAAGAACATACTTCATACTGTAAGTATTAGTTTCTGATTTCAGAAATGCCACTCTAAATGTAAATGCGAATGTCATTGCTGATAAAAGCAGTGCGTCTTTGTTGCACTTAATGACTATGAGATTGTATTCATGCTTAATTTTGCTATATTAGGTACTTCTAAAGGAGCGTTGGACATTATGAGTAAAGTGATGGCTCTGGAGCTTGGGCCACACAAGGTACGTAGGTACATGTACATGTAGCAGCAGAAAAACTTTATTGCACAACAATTCCACATGGTACAATGTATAGCAAAGTACAAAAAAAAGAAATGTATTGAATAAGACCTTATGTAGAATAAAATCTAATATGTCCTTACTAATTATACTCAAGCAACTAGAAAGGCCAATATTTGCTTTGGAGCAAATACAGCGACAGGGTTCACCACATTTTACGACATGGCAGGGAAAGAATGAGAAACACAAGGGAAAACAATGATTTACATTGATATAACTATAATATGAAGTAACATACAACTAAAACAACAGTTGGATAGCTATTCCCTACTTTATTGGTTAGGATTTTTAATTGCATAATGCAAACTGTTGATTTTCAAAATAAAAAAAAACGTTCATGCCCGGCATTCCAATGCTGGAGCAGAAAAGCTTGAAATACCTACCAAAACACTTGAATAAAGACATACTGTCAGTATGGAAATGCTCTGTGCAGGTGTTATTAACAATCACATAAACTATGAAGCCATACATTGAATAAGCTATACATATAATATGATTATCATAACCTTTATTTTTAAAATCATGCCAGTGAGCTAATTGCATGTACAGAGTGAAAGAAAGTAAAGTAAAGCAGTAGAATTTCTGTACTAGCTATGATAGTACTTCATATGATTCGTCCTCATCGTCATCATTCAATGTGGTCTATCTCTTGCTACTAGTGACTGGTAATACCTCTGTAGATTCTTCACACTGGCAGAGTACCGTACTCCTTCTCTCTTGTCAGCTCAATACTTTTGTGACAACATCAAAGTGATTTTAATTTGTATGTTGGAAAAATACAAAAGACTAACATTCTAAGTTATTGACATTCTTGAGTAAGAACAATCAGTTTTTGAATGTTAAAAGCAAAACAACGAAAATAAAAAAAATAGTTGAAATTGTTAAAATGCAGAATTGTTAAAATTGTTAAAACTGATAAAATTGTTAAAAATGATAAAATTGTTAAAAATGTTAAATTGCTAAAAATATTAATGTCCGATGCACTGGGGTTCGAACTTGCAATGCCTGGGATTGCCGCCTTGCGCGTTTCCAACCGAGCTAACTCGGTGCGATACACATCACTCACTGCATTGTATGTCATAAAAAGTAAACAGCATGGCGGTATCGATCGCTTCAAGGCACCAAGACTTTCAACTATTAACTACGGGGTTTCCTTCTTTATCAGGTTTGCTTTTGAACCACCTTGATGTTACTTAACTATCAACCCTACAATTTTGGTGATACTTCGGAGATCGATAACAGAACCTAGATAATACTAGTTGGTAAAGATTGCGGAAAATTGTTGATACCGTGGCGCGCGCGCCGACGATACACATTACGTACCGCGTAACTTTTTTGTTTACACGCCGGGCGCAGGTCATTGACCTCCAACTTGCGTTGTTCCAACAGAGAAGAGCAAAATGTCTGGCTCCCGCAGAACGTATCGCACTCTCCCGCTGGACGTACCGCACTCTCCCGCAGAACGTATCGCACTCTCCCGCTGGACGTACCGCACTCTCCCGCAGAACGTACCGCACTCTCCCGCTGGACGTACCGCACTCTCCCGCAGGGAAGTCCCGCACAGCGTCCTGCACTCTCCCGCAGAACGTCCCTCGAAAATCGATGCGTATTTCGTGGCCTGTGCTGTACCTACCAAAACACTTGAGTTCATACTGTCAAAATGGAATGGCTTTGAACAGGTGTTAATTGAGTTAATCCAATCAAATCCAACAGCCAATCAGCAAGAAGAATAGATTGGTCTGCGTCAGGTTCATGCTTGCATGCCCATATATGGGCATACCGCCGAATTCCTTTCTTATTACGTCACGCGCGCGCGCCCCCACAGTACTTTCCTATGGGGACCGCTAAAAAAGCAAATAAAACGATTGTAAAAGCTTGTATCACAAAAATTTAAAAACGCCTAGGGGTATTTGCCCACTGTACCTCCATACCAAATTTCAGGACCTTAGGCCCTAAAATGAAGAAGCTGAATCCATTTAAAAAATGGCAGGAGAAGAAGAAGGAGAAACATCAGAAAAAAGCAATATGGTTTCACCACACCACTTCGTGGTGTGGTGAACCCATAACAAGGGCTAGTACAAGTCTTTGATATAGTGTTACAATTGAGTGGGACGATCAGGAGTTTCAGTATTTTTTCTAATAACATTTAAGCAGTCTTGTATAATTATATATCTACATTTTTGCATTGTGGGAATCATTGCTGAATGTAAAGATATATTCAAATCTGTCTCTAGCATCTTGAAATCTATTGTACTTGATTTGAGAAATTTAAATAACTTATTACGTAAAACATCATATTTAGTGCATTCCATAACAAATTAAGTGAAATTCATCTTCAATATGCTTTGGACAAAATGGCTTAGGTGCATCTGCGTTTGCAAAAAAGATCAAGCTTCAAATTTAAGCCCCAACATGAAGCAATACCGACTCTTTTCAGTTCACCTGACAACCTTTCTCAGATTGGCTTACCACCTACATCAAACCATTTTTCTACCTCCATGATCAAACCAAGGACTAGTATGTTATTTGGTTGACCATATTGTATCAGAATGTATCCTTGATCACACACTTTAATCATGGGATATCCAATGAGTACTGTTCATCACTTTGAAGAACGAATAGATCTACTTCTGGACACCTAGACTATCATAGAATGGCAATGAAAATGATATTCAAGTCAAGACAAGTTAAAGTTTATTGCACGATTGTAACAGGTACAATGTATGGCAGATAAATTTTTGTACTTAAGATTACTACATGTAGCTGGTATGAGTATGAGTCTATCAAAGTTCTACATATAAGTTCAATCGGTATCATGTCTGGCAGTATGTTGAATAGAACTACCAAGAACTATTACACCTCTACACTTACATGTTCATGTATTGATAGGTTATAATGTTCCATCCCCCAGATCCGTGTGAACACAGTAAACCCTACTGTAGTCATGACAGACATGGGGCAAAAGGTGTGGGGGAGTGACCCGGCCAAGTCAGGACCCATGCTGGCCAGGATACCTCTGGGCAAGTTTGTAGGTGAGCAAAAACCTTTCGATTTGCAACATTTAGTGCATAAAAATTGTTTGCCGTCATATTGCATGAACATATACAAAGCTACTGTTGTCAAGAAAGTTCATCTGTGTTGGCAGTAACATGATTAAGTTAGGTAAAATGTTTGTTCCAACACAAAAATGTTCTAAGGCCACACCAATTTAATTTCTTGGTTAACGGACTCACCCGCTTCATTTTTTCTGATTTGCAAAAAAATTTTGAACCAGCCTAGTGTGTTGACTTCATGGCTCCTATTGTATCATTTTGGGCCATAATAGGATGCCTAGGCCTGTTTTTATTTCATTTTTTCGCCCGCCCGCACCATTATTTTTCTAGAAAAATCTGTTAACCAAGAAATTAAATTGGTGTGGCCTTATGTAACCCAACACCAGTTACCATGGTGACAGACGTCTGGTTCAGGTCCTTATTTCCTTGGAGAAGAAGAGCAAGAAACTGAGGAAAAACAATATGTTTCCTTCGTAAACATAACTACTGCTGTCTTGCCCCATGTCGAAATATATTTCATATTTATGTTTGTTGTTTAATTTTCCCACAGAGGTAGAAGACGTGGTCCATGCCATCCTGTTCCTGTTGAGTGACAAGGCAGCCATGATGACTGGAACAAACCTGCCAGTAGAGGGAGGCTTCTCCGCCACTTAACCAGAAAATCACCTTCTTTCACTTGTTTACATCATCATAATGGACATCAACAGTTTGTTATTTCAAGTAGCGCAGTGCATTAAGTCACTGCTATCACATGAAAATTTCGTTTCTGCTCTTAAAACTACAGAAAATATAATTTTCTTACGGTTGAATAAATTATGTAATTGAGCACTGTGCATTTTGCACATAAAGTCAAGCTAAGAACACGTATATAATTTGTGAACAATGCGCATTTATACACGAACTGCAAAACCTTCATACAGTCTCAAACCCGATACATTCCTACACCACACAGCGCAATTTACGTCTCGCTGGCGCTCTTATCAGGCTTTCTACCCAGCCTTCAAGAATATTCGCTGTACTACTTTCTACTCACGCGCGTCTTAGACCGGGGGTCGACCATTAGTATTGTGTGTTATGCCGCGGAGGGACGGTTTTCAGGCTCTAGCGGAAACATTGAAAAGTACATGCTGACAACCGTGTACCACCCGACCGTTTCCCTGTGCAACCACAAACACTAAAGTTATCCGGGTTATCTAAGTTTCCAGTGATTGTGTTTCAACAGAAACGGAAGATGCGAATCTCTCGCCACGATAACCACAACAATTAGCAAGTGTCGTCTGTTTTCTGTCAGGAATCTTGGCGCCAAAATTTTCACTTCCCGCCATCTTATCTCCATCGCCTTGTTGGATGAGGTACTTCTGATCTCTCAAAACACCAAATATTTTTTCAAGTATTTCAAACATTCGTAACGACACAACATTACAATGCCAACCATGTTAACAAGTACTAGTAATATTCTGCCAGACAAAGGCTTCGAAATGTTGGTAATTTTTTCGTGGCGCCGTCCCGCTTTCCTCAGTTCCGGATCCCTTTATCTGCCAGCTTTTGAAGATTTCTGATATACGAAGATAGGACTTCGGCAAAAAGGGGAGTAAAATTTAGCCTCCACCAGGCCTGTCTACGGGAATACGGATCGTAGAATTCGGCAAAAAAGAGAGAGAAATTGGCCAAGGGAGTCCGGCCGCGGGAAGGCTGGTTCTTTCCCTCCGGCCAGTCAAACCTACAAGGCGGCCAAACTCCCTTCAAGTCCCTTGGCAAATACTAGTATTCTCCTATATACATGTACTAGTATAGCCTAGTCTCTACCAGACTAACTACGCTGGTAATATATAGGAGAATATTTGCCGGGGGAGTTTGGCCGCGCCTTGTAGGTTTGACTGGGCCGCTTTGGAGGGAAAGATACTACCTCCCCGCGGCCGGACTCCCTTGGCCAATTTTACTCTCTTTTTAAGTTTTTTGCCGAATTCTATGATCCGTATTCCTGTAGAAAGGCCTGGTGGAGGCTAGACATCATATAGGATTACAGAAAGTACGCGAGGGACTATATATAATAATCCTCTGTGACACAAGTTATATTTCGTACAAATATTTCCCGAAAAAAAGTCTGCTAAAATTTCTTTGAAGTGTGTGGCCTCCGGGCGTGTAGATAACGTTACATGATACAATAATATTTGTACATAGTAACGCCTTCCACATCAACTATAATAACACACTTGGCTACTTCTAACGCTTCCGGCGACCAGTGAAATGTCTGTCGATTCCTACAAGGAGCTCGAGGTTTCTGCAACTAAGGAGGTTAAATACAAGCCTCTTGTATTTAACCTCCTTGCAGGAATCACGATATTTGACAAATGTTGGGAGGGCTTCTACGATTCGTAGACAATAGAATTAGAAAATAATGGGTATAATCATGGAGGTATAATGATATAATGGCTTTATTATGTTCATTGACAGAACTCAAGTGACGTTGAATGGACAATATTGGTTAAACCTGTCATTTATCCATGATAAAAAAACTGCAAGAATTACTTGATACATAATCTAGCATAATATTTTCTACACTAGCCAGGAACGATCTGAGTGTCAGCTGAAACTGGTTTCGTCCACAAACTGGGTTTCATGATCCTTGAACATATTTGCGGTATGAACGCAAGGAAATTATACTGTCTAGTAACGTTAACCTCCTGGTGAACGATGTAAAAGCCGCATGGAAGAAAAAACTGATCGGAAGAAGTTGAAGAAGGCTCTGTATATGTTCATCAACACGCCATCCGCCATTAAAATTCGGCCTTTTCCGTTTCGAAGATACCAGAACAGGAATCCGTTGATATCATTCATTCTTCTTCCGCTAATTTCGGGAGCGCCTCCGACGCCACAAAAGAAGGGCGCACGCCTGGCCGGATGCCTGCCCTCCCGACCAGAGCATGACTCTAGCCTCTACCAGGCTTCGAGAGGCGGCTGGAAGAGTAGAAATTGCCAAATTAGAGACATAACATGCCGCACCCACACCGGCAAACTGTACTCTCTAGCCGACCAACTCCCTTGCCATGTTATTTCTCTATTTCCCAATTTCTACTCTTTTCAGCCGCCTCCGAAGCCTGGTAGAGGCTATAATACTAGAGCTTACTGTAATTCCTGATTTTTTTCACGGTACTTTTATGTTCACTGTTTTCACTGTCACTTTTGTACAATGGTGAACCAAGGACATACATTGTACTACTGTAGAACGTCCTTGAGTGAACTTATCATTACAGTCAACAAATAATTCCTCGACTTTCTTTTTCCTGCACCTGTCTCCATCCGTGAAGATATAGTTCCGTGAACATTTCCATTTTTCTCAGACCGTGAAAATTTGTTACCGTGAACATAATTTTTTACAGATACATTTGTATCTCCCGAGTGTTCCTCGATAGCGGAGCGGCTCGCATCGTGCTTTTCCTCGGCGCCAGAGTTACCGCCAGAGTTTACCATACCAATCGGTAACACAGACCGTCAAATTGCCGGTGTGCTTGTTCTGATCTCCCCACAGGTGCTCCACCCATGTTTGTTTTATTGATGACCTAAGGACCCGGCAATAGCCGTCGATCTGGAGGTCTGGATGAAGTAATACGGTGTGAACGAGGTCCACTTCAAACCAGAATACCCACGATGACTGTCGCCTGGCAGATCGTTATCTCTCGTGGCGTAGACGGGTTCCCATCGGGAGTCATTGTTCTACAAGTTAAGATCTCATTGTCTGGACATTCCGACAATTCTACTGGCACCACATCTAGTTCTTCACGTGTGATTGATATGAATTTGTAATTTTTTTTCTCTCTCTCGAAGAACGCCACAGTTGTCATGCCGTTTTCTCCTCGTTTTGCAATGTACTGTTGTTTGTTTGTGTCGATAATTTTGTAAAGCAAAAGCCTTTTCTTTCAGATTTAGAACAAAGGAATAAACGAAATGTGCTATCTTTAGATACTTTATAATGTGGACTGTATAGCAAAGAGAGAAATTAACTGTGTAGGTTTGTACAAAACCTATTCCCCTATTTCATACACTTAAAGCACTGCAGAAAAATTCATATTCTTAATGCAACTAGACAAACCATCCATCGAAAAAATTATCTGTTCTTTTGTTTGCTTTCTTTTTGTATCTGTCAACTATCTGCTCATCTTGTTTTGTTGTGACCATGGAGGTACCTCCATGTTGTGACCTGTACGTAGCCAAGTGTGACAAAAAAGTGCACAATAAAGGTCGTCATTCATTCATTCATTTATAACAATTTTATAAATGTATTGAATGATATAATGAATACTAGCTAGACGAACAAGAGAGAGGAATGAGAGAGAAAGAGAGAAGGGAACGAAGGGTGCAGGGTACTCGACTCAGAACCAAGAGGTCCCAGGTTCGAGTCCTGACATGCCACCAATCTTATGCCCTTGGGAAAGGCACTTTACACGACTTTCCTCACTTAAAATAGGTGAAAAAAGAGTATTCTCCTGTCCTGTATTTGTTCTCTGCGTTGGTGGCAGCATAAAATAAGTTGAAAAACTTGAGTGTGTCGTCACCATGTGTTGTCATGAATTGTTAGCCTCTACCAGACTTCAGGAGGCGGCTGGAAAGAATAGAAATATGTCAAATAGAGAGATAGCATGTCAGGTCAGTTTGTCCACTAGAGAGCTAGAGAGTACATTTGCCGCTCCCGCTTCTTGTTATCTTTCTAGAATTCTATTTGACCGATTTTTACTATTTCCAGCCGCCTCCCGAAGCCTGGTAAAGGCTAATAAATTGTTGGAATAAAAAACAACCTGAGTAGTAACAAGGCTGGATTTCACGCTACAATTTCTTTGTTGCTTTTCAGAGAAACAATTAGCTCCAAAAACAATAAGTTGTACCTGCCGTGCACCTGTCGGGACCAACGCCACGACCTGTAGTCTAGACAATAGGTGTTTTCTCTGGGCACATAATCGGGTGATTGATACCTTTGTTTCTCGTAGTGAGTATAATAGGATGATGCGATGGGAAAAGAAACTTGTTGAAATTGTTCGACGCCAGGTTTGGGTCCCGGCGACGCCAGGGACTAGTCTTGTAGACTATTGGTCATGAATATTACGGCTGGCACGACGGTGTTATACACTGCATGCATGTTGCTTGGCTTATTGTTGTTAGGCCACAGCAAGTAATTTTTATGGATTACATCAGCGCGCGCAATAATTTTCGCCTGATTTTGGAAGAAGAAAAAAGACAAGAAATTTTGTTGCCCTCTGACAGTGGTCAACATGCCGAAAATGGGCAAAGATGTCTGTTGCCAGGCCGGAACGTGGATGACAGATAAATATGAAAAGAGGAGACAAGAAAAGGCTCTGATTTAATGTTTTAATTTGTTCCTTATTTTGAATTTTTTGATGCAGTGATATGTGATGTTGGCTGTGTATATGTGATGTTCCTACTGAATCGAAACAATTTGTACAATGATTGAGTCGAAATTTTAAATTGTAGCAACTTTGTTTTTTTTCGGCCCGCCTTGTTTTTTTCGCCCTATCGCATTAGATTTGGAGTCTGCGGAGGATGTCATCCATAAAATTTACCTGCCGTGGCCTTATTTCTTCTCGTTAGTTTGAGATAGGAAACATTCTTCCTAAGTAGAGATGAAGTTACAAGTATCACATTTTCACATACTTAGTATGAGACATGGAAA